GATTAGGAAACTAAAATTCACATTGAAGATATTAAAACTTAAACCAATAAGTGAAAAACAAAGAAAGGTGAGTAGACAGGCCTACCTACGTATTTACAATTTCAAAGGGATATGAGCTGAAGGCAGGATTTAAACTAGTTCGCTGTTTGAAAATATGCAGGGATTCTAAAATTCTTACGTCAGAAACACCTGTTTTAGGAGGCTGAAACTTTTGACTCTGGAGGCACCTAACAAATTCAGAAATTGTTAAATTATATATATTGACTCATAAATACAATGGCTTCTATAATGTATAAAATTTTATTTTTAATGTATAAAATTTCATAGGAATTATGTTTTTTCTTCTTTTCTCGGTAGTGACGCGTCAAAAAAATCAACCTTTTAGAACCTCTCATGGAGAATCAAAGAGAATATGCGACTTGAAAATTATTTTCAGTCCGTCATTTATAGTCATTACCGAACCGTCTGACTGAGTAACCTCGTTCTAGTAGCAATGTTTTTCGAGCTGTTTTCATGACTTTTGGTTGTCGCATCAAATTTTTACTGAAAAAATGCGTCGGCTTGCATGATCATGAAATTAGGATTCATTTTATACATTTTTATTTGACATCCTTCGAATGAGATCGTAGTTTTGGATCCGTCCGATCCAGCGACAATTAGGAGTAGTTGGAAACTTGTTTAACCTAATGGCGTGAATGTATAGAAGTTTGAGGAGCAACTCTCAGGAAAACCGCGTTATTATGATTAAAATAATAAAGCAATAAATTAAGGTCGCATCGATATCAAATAGTTACAGTAGAAATTAAATTGTTTGCTGTTAAATTTCTCACAGAAACTGTCACACACTGTGATATTCGTGTTATGACTCGTAATTTGATGCGAAGGCATGTATAATAATTTCTTATTATAGAAGGCTTGTAAATAATTTCGTAGGCTTGTATAATAATTTCTTATTTTCTGTGAGCGCAAATTATTCATTGTATAAAGTTCTTGTAAAGCCATAAAGTTTTACTCAGTCTCTTGGTACTCAACTTTGTCTTCCATTCACAATGCACATCCAGAACGAAGAACATTGAGATCAGTGTTATACGATATAGTACATAATACTTTTTTCGTTGCAAATGCAGGCAAAGTTTAGGGCCTCATGCACTTATTTTTAGATTTGCAAGAGTACGATGAGTTCTGTGTTCATACAAGCATTATTTGGCAATTCACCTCCGTAACCTACAACATTTTGTAGCTGACTCTTGGAAAAGCAATAAAGGCTGTTAACGGTGAATCAACGGCCGTAGGTTCTTATGAGCAGAATATTTGTTTGTCGCAGTATAATAAAAATACACGGAATATTAAGGATAACTACAGTAATTATTGACTTGAATTTTGTACTTGATAACTGTAAGCTGAATGCACACTGCCACTAGTTGATTATTTTCGATATTCTATTGCCGGCTGCATGCATACATGACAGCAGCAGTTTTTTTATTGAGAAGATTTCTTTCCGCAAGGCCTCAGTGCACTCAAACGCATTCACACGTGAATTTACATCATGGTATATAGAAGTGGAGAATAAAAGATGATGGATCTCTTAAAACTGCCTCTCTATTCAATTCTCGAACCCGTCATTTAAAAATAAATGGGATATTGTCCAAATAGTGATACACTTTATTTCTTCGCAGAGAAAGGATGTAGCACTGATACTATCTTTTGTCAAGTAAAACTGGAACATGGTGACTCATACAACGGTAAAAAATGAATAACTATTTTGAAAATGACCCTCTCATATTTCTGAGTGCATGGTGAGGGCACGGATGGGCTTTGCTGGCCACAACACAATAGATTATACACTGAGTATTTCGTTTCTAAGTACGATATTATATGGATGCTAGAATACTGAATTTTTGCAGGATTATTATTTTGCTGCATTAGTTCAATTATTTGCATGTGTATCCCATTTTCTATATACTATTATTTTTGAAGTGCATCGAGCAGGCAGAGTGCTATTATATGCGTTGCAGTTTATAATGAAGAAACAGACGCATCTTTCCAATATTAGTTTCAAACTAAGCTTAATATGGTTTTAGATTAAGTGAAATACACATATGTCGTGAATTAACAATTGGGAGTAGTGATTTTGTGTTTTTCTGATGATTTAATGCAGTATTTTGCAGTTGAATTTATAAATTCGTTTCTTTAATTGTTTGCAGTTTGTTACAAAATTAGCAAAGAAAGTAACAGTATGCATTTAACAACGAGTTTATCCGTTGGCGTAAATTAGCTAGTACAGTAAGAATGCATTTTCTCCCCGTATGCCTGAATAATTTTTAAAATTTAGAATTAAACAAAATTCACCATGTAAGTAAAATTACAATTGCAAATATATGGAAGATATTGAAATTATATCTAAGAAAAACATCCACCTACCAAGTAAAATTCGCTAAATTTGTACGTAGAACTCCAGGATTTTTCCAGCAGAAACCCTAATGGCAAGAAGATCTGGCAAACAAAATAATAGTTCCTCTTTGTCAGAAAAAAAAAATAGAGTTCTTATCTAAACACCGCAACAGTGAAGCGTTTCAACAACAAAGGCACTCCCCACAGTAAATGTTTGGCTTGCTGAGACCTCCTAAAAAAGCTGTTGTGAACATCTGTAAGTTGCAAATGTGAATGTGTTTAAAACACTAACTATAATAACATTAACTGAATATTTTACCTGACATAAATAAAAACAACCACGAAGATGCAATTTACTGCAAATACCAGCAGCATGATTTTGCGATATAGGCATATAAAGATATGCTGAGAAACCATTTATATGTAAATAGGCTAGAAACTGCCTATATAACTGAAGAATATGATAAGTTCATCGGGTTATTACTCAATTTTAAATAACATAAAAATATATAGTATTTTAACAAGTTATTCACGATCACATATCAGCTCTTCACCAGTTATTCTGAGAGATGTAACGCGACGATGCAACAAAATACGCCTCGTGCTAAGGGTAGATTTACCACGATTTCCACGTTTGTAGTATATCATTGTTTTTATTTGAAATCATTCCATTGAGTTACAATATTATCTAGAATATTATAGAGTTTCGAGAAATCCAATATATTGTCCTGAGGCATGCTCTCCATTACGATTGACGGATTTTCGGTCGACAATGCCGTCTATCCCGACGAATTTTCGTACACAAAAGACGGTATTTTTCTTTCCACGTTGATCTTCCAAAAACGAAAAACATGCGGGCATTGTTAAGCGCCAGCGAAGCTACAGCTGCTCGCCGTCGCAATCTGCATTTTGAAGGAAATATTGGACTTTTATCTTCTAACGTCTTGCGTGAAATTCGAGAGATATTCTGGACGCTCCTACATTCATGTTATTTTTCTGTTTTGAGTCCTCGGCTGGAATCGTTTTTTTTTCGGTGATGGATAAGGTGAACGCAAATAATTTTAATTAATAACAAACAATGACACTTCGTATTTCTGACATGATTTTTGCATTCAAAATATCTACTTTAATGATTCAATCTGATCGAATTGCGTGTGATTTTTTTATAAAACTATTCACACGAATAAGGATAAACGTCTTGACCTGAGATGCTTTGGATGATCTAATCGCTCAAATTTTGCAAATTTAAAATAGATGAAAATTTTACACATCAATTCACTTTCAAGGTTTCCATGCGTGTCTAAGATTCTCTTTATCGCAGACAATGTTTTAAATCACATTAAAATACAATATTTTTGCAAACTAGTCTACTGTATTTGGTTTTACATATTTTATATTTTTTATTAATGCGGTAGATAAAATATAATTAATCTTAAGAATGATTATGCATAGCAAAAATGATGAGGTATCATTATTTACTCTATTAACGGGAAGATGATGCTAGGGAAATGAAGCACATAAATGAAGAAATATTTTTTATTTATGGTGATAACATAGCTATAAACAACACTAGTATATAACCTATCCTAAATACAACAGATAATAACACTAAGACAATAACCCATCATAGATACAATAGACATCATCGCTACCGATGCTAGCCACAATAACATGCAAAACAAACAACTCTCGTGCTGATCAACAGCGTATTTCATCTTATATATGATATATCGGTATTTAATTAATATGTACAATCACGATCGATAACTTCTAGAAATTTGTTAGCCTATTTAAACGCGATAATCTACAAGTTTTGATTTTAGCGTTTGTAAAATTCCTGGCAATGAAGGAGCAAGCTTTCAAAATAAGTTATAGAATAAAATTTTCAACCAACATTTTGTGTTTATGGCAGCATATTTTTTTTTAGTCATGACACTTTTTACATTTGTAGCTCATGTTACGGCATTACATGATTTTGACTTCTGCATACTCGCTTTTAATACTTTGACGCCATGTTCAAATTTGATGGACAGCTCTGCAAAGATAAGAAATTTCATCAAACCCCGCAACAAAAATGTTAGTCAACGTGACTGAGAATTGGCGTCGTTCAGTGACTGACACACATAGAAGCGTTAAATTCACGTTTTTATATGAATATTTATATGAATATTTCACACAACGCAGATGTCTGATGTAATTGTAAGAGACAAATATTACATAAGTGTACGAAGTTATGTACAAAAATTTGAGAATCATTACCCAGAAAGTATGACTCGTTATCAAATAGAAAAATAATTTTAAAAATTAAAAAATAATAATCAGTTTAAAATTAGTATTGGTAGATATTTAAGTATAACATATCAATTTAGCACTGCATATTTAAAGGTTGAAAGCCCTCTAGGCTCAAGTAAAATAACTACTGAAATTTTGAAAAATTTAAACCGTCAACCTAAAAAAATTACCAAAATTTTTGCGAATAATACGTAAATTTAAGTCGAACCCTGTCCAGGGTTAAATTTCCATGGAAAATTTTAAAAATGCAAATCGTGATTCAAGAATTATCAAAATTATCTTGGAATGTTTATTAAATTTATCAGAAGATATCAAGGTTACCACAGTAAACTAGATATCATCATCCTGCGCGTCCAACGAAAGGCTACGAGGCTCCCGCGTTTTGAAGACCGTAGCGGTCGGCCGACTGCCATCCAGCCGCTCGCTCCTGATCAGGTGGCTGGTGAGGTTAAAAAAATACTCTGGTTCCTGGTTGAGGAGGGAAGGAGGCGCAAGAACGGAAGGCATAACCCGGGTGGGTGGTGCGGGCTTCATTAAATGATGCAAGTTCAGGTTATTGCTACCTGGGTTAGCGACACTTTCATCCACATGAGGAGAAAGAGTGGGCACCGTCCTCTGATCCACAACGTCCACGTATTTTTGGAACCTCTGATTAGACAAACTTGAAGGGAAAGAAGCTTGAGGATTCCAGGCGTTGAGATAGCGGCGGTTTTGATAGTATCGACTGTGACGCAGGAACTGCGGCGAGGGTTGAAACCGATAGCGGGCCATAGGAGGCATAGGTTGAAACCCGAGGGCCCGATGGGAAAACCGAAGATCATATGCATGGTCAGGGACGACAGCGCTCCTCCTCTGACTTATCACGTGGGGACGAGGGCGTCTTTGGGGCGAAATTGTCTGCTGCTGGATCTTGTTTTGGCTCATGGCGGCTTGTGCCCGTGAGTACAGCGCGTGGATTGGATCACCTTCTAAAGCTATTTCCTGGTTGAATGTTTTCAGATATTCGTTTTTCGTGGGTTTTTCTCGTTTAGTATCGGAATTAGATAAGGAAGTATCTGAATTTAAGTCGTCGCTGAAATATCCATCGTCCATGCGGTCATCAGCTTCGTCTAGAGGCAGTAAGTCGTCTTCTGATTCAAAAAACAAGTCACTCAGATCGCCGGTGTCTCTAGCCCGCGCTTCTTCGGCTATCAGCGCTGAGTTCTCACCAGTCTCTGTCTGCAATAAAGAAGCCTATATCATTTATTATAATTTTACAAGTCATTTATGCGTTATTCATACTAATTAATCATTATGAGTAGATCAGGTATTGTCTTGTTTGTAGTTCATCCATAAGTTCAACACACTAAAAACTAATTACGAGTAAATTGCTCTGTTTGTAAGTTATTCCTTAGTCCAACACGCTAAAAATTGATGAGTAGATCATTTATTGTCATCTTTATATATAAGTAGTTCATAGGTTAGTCATACTGAAATTTAATTATGCCTCGACCACGTATTATTATCCAGTTTATAAATCACCCATATCAGTCGAACACAAAAATTGAAAAATGTAAATTTTTATCCGGATTATTGTACAATAACGGTGGAGACAGGTAAAACTTAAAAAAAGTCCCCTATTTCACCAATAGTATTTGTTCCCACTTATTTGTGTCGGGAATCAAATGAAGATAAAAGCCAAGTTTGTGTTTTGCGAAGATTAAAATTTTTCTTGCTGTCTGTTAAAACTGCTCATGTAACCAAGATTTAGGTGGCATATGAGGTCTACTAACATATCGCAAATTAGAAATTTGTTGGTTCATGTGGCATTTAGTTTACTCCTACATGTCGTAGTGCCACTATCTAGATTATCGTAGGGTTAATATCTTGCTACCCACCCAGAAATAGTGTCGGACATGGGTCCCTCTTGGTAAATAGTACATTATTATCAGGAGTGTGAAGGTTTATGCAAAAAAATCACATAAAAACGGCTTTATTGCAAAGTGAATCATGGCAGCTCAAGGTCACATATACAGAGATCAGCCGCTCACAGCATGCGTGGTTGGGATGATTAATTTTTATTCATTAGTATTTACTGCTTTTATTTACGACAAGGAACTTAATGCGATTACCAGATATAGCGATCAGTTTTCAATACTTAATAAAACATCGCAATGAAGGCAAAATTTATTAAGGTTCCTTCATTGATGAACAGCAACAGGATTAATTATTGTTCGCAGTATCTGCTTTAAAATATGTTTCGTTTCAGGTTTAGGAGCGTAAATGTCAAAGACGTCCAGCGTTGCCCTGAACAAACTCCTCACTCCCTCACAACCGGTACAGAGCGTCCAGAACATCCCTGAACAAGCTGTTCACCCCTCACAGCCGGTACAGAGCGTCCAGAACAACCCTGAACAAGCTGTTCACCCCTCACAGCCGGTACAGAGCGTCCAGAACATCCCTGAACAAGCTGTTCACCCCTCACAACCGGTACAGAGCGTCCAGAACATCCCTGAACAAGCTGTTCACCTGTTCATCAGTTCTGCCTCGGGGCCGTCGGTTGTAGCCAAACCCCGCGCGGGACGCGGAGTCCGGCAGGTCGTAGCACTTGCACACGCAGCCCGACGGGAACCGGAACCAATCGCTGTGAAAATGTGGAACATACAGGAACCGGAAATTGAACTGTGGTGTTAATTGAATATATTAATCATTATTACAAGGTGTTAAAATGTAATAATTATTCCTTATTATCAGGGGGTTAAAATCGGATAAATTAATCAGTATTACCAGGGGTTAAAATGTAATTAATTAACCATTAATCCACCTGAATATGCCGCGGCAGTCGTTGCTGGGGTCGAAGGCTAGCATCCTGTGCAGTCTGTACTGCTGCTCACAGCGACAGCCTGGCCTGCAGTACATCTGTCGGTACTCGTACCTGCGGGGGCGAGTACAATGTACTGCACAGTTACTGCACTTGCTACTCCGACCACACAGTTATCGCACACTTTGTTGAGGATTATATTCTATCATTGATTAATTTTCTAATTTAGTAAAAACTGTTTCATTTAGATTTAGACTTTTCCGCACTTTAGGTTCCGATAGTTTTCGGGATTATAAGATTGTATTTTTAGATAAGATCTGGTGAGAACTGCGACACAGCGCAGTGCATTTTGCAACTACTTCGTGAAATATATGTGCAGAAACTTAGTGCATTCAATACCGTATTACTGCAATGTCAACAAATTATTCAAATTTGGAGAGGTATCTGACGTTGAACCCACGTTGATTTGTCGTTGTAAAGCGGACTTTACATCGATTCATCGTTAAAACGCGGACTTAACATTGATTTAAACGTTGAAACGTGGACGTTATATTGATTTAACGTCAAAAAGTGGACTCTGCGTCTATTTAACGTTTTATCAACTTAATATGATTACTGGGTTATTATCTCGGACACAGCGCGTCCTGTAAACTCCTGTCCCACTTTAAAAAAATAAAGGCAATTGCTTTTATTTTTATGGGCTTTTTTACCACCGTAATTTACACTGACAAAGTACTTGAATCGGAGTCACTTCCAATGTAAACTAGATAAATATTCGATAAAATTTAGACGCTCAATTTAATTTTATAAGCTCATACGTTGTCCTCACCTGCACTTCTCCCAGTGCACGTACTGCTCGAAGGGCGCGAGGTTGAGGAGGGCGAGCACTTCACCGCGCGTGTTGTTCGCCCAATATGGCGCTACGACGTCAGTCTCCACGGGACACGCGTTACTGTAACCCACGGCAGCGTTGTGTATGACAGTTATTGTAAAATTTTGAGTCATTAATCAATAGTTAAATAATATGCTACCTCATGGTTGGCCAGTTATTTATACAATTTTTATTCATTAATCAATAAGTAAATAATATGCTACCTCATGGCGTTTAATCTCCACTTTTTTTATCAAGTTTAATCATATATTTATATGTTTTAAGCTGTGTTGTTGGGTTACAATACAGTATCTACCAGATATCAGATATACAGTATCAGTTCGCAATCCCGGGGATCGCAATGAATTATATTTTCTGTTTGATATGAAAATCGTATTTTCTGCTTTGATTTGTTGCTATTATCTCAATATAAAAATTAGTCAGGTGTCAAGAAGACATAACTGATTTTACAAATCATTTACCCTATTTCACTTCAGTTTCTCAAGCACCCCGAACATTGACCATTAAATTTCTTATCGTCGCCATTTCTGCCAATTTTCGCCATCGTAAAAATCTTGAAAATATCTTCTGAATCGCAAGGAGAGCTCCTGGCGGTATCCGAATTGGACACGAAATTTCATTGGACTGCCTCACGAAAAAAATGATTGGACGACAAACTGGACACGAAATTTGTGCATACGTCGAATTGGAAATGAAAACGAATGGACACGAAATTTTAAAGGACGACTCCACAAAAATTATTGGACGCCCAATGCGTCTGACTTGAATTAGATCTTGCAAGCTCTAGAAATCTTTACTAATGAAATCTCGCACATAGACACTCCCTTTTATGCAAATAATGAATGGCAATAAAGAATGAATAAAACTATCGACTTTTGATCAAATTAAATCTTTTACTCACACTCCCTTCTTGGAGGGGAAGATAGGAGGGGTGGGGACAGAGGACGCCTCGGCGTCGCCCGCCTGCGGCCTGCGCCACGTCGCCTGCGCTGGACGCGCCTGCGGGGAAATCGAGGCGCCTTTACTGAACTGATTGTAAACTAAGGGATTAACTAATTTAGGGTATTACCCCATAACTAATCAAGGGTTTGATTATTATTCAAATCGACTATGGATAAATGGATTAATACTACGTGATTGTATTTTTATTATACTAACAGAGCAGTAAATAATGTGTGATTATATTCACATTATTATAGTATTCATTGTATTTCATTGGCTTCTTTTTGGTCGATAAAAAATGCCTACGCCAGACTAAATTTTTTCCAAGATGTCGTGATTTTTTATCGGATTATATATCTTTATTGTGCTAGTGCGAACAAATTATAATGTTATACGAGTTAAACATCGATGCAACATTTGCATTTAACGTTAGTTTTATTTTTTCGCGAAGAATTTGATATTGAAAAATGTTTAAGCGGAAATAAAGCAATTTTTTCAGTGATGTTTTCATAATAAAATCGTCACGCGGGCCAAATTTTAAACCAGATAAAATTTTATCGTAAGCACACGAGAGAAATTAAAAAAAAATGAAAAAGAACTTAAGAAAAAATTCAAATATCAGCAATCGTTACATTATTTCCCGACTCACATGAGTAGATTCTTCAGCCAATCCAATGTGATGGCTTTGAATTCTAGCGCTGGATTCATGAATCGCTGGAGACTCTGGAGTGACCGCACTCCACTTGGACGAAGGATGTCTGGATTCAGCAGAAGCGGGACGACGAGTGTTGGAGTGTCTTCTGTTGCTTGAATCTTTGTGATTCGCAGTTCTGGATTCAGAAGATGCTGCAATCGGAGACCCGGATTCAGAAAATGGCATCGGAGTTCTGGTTTCAGACGATGGAATCGAAGTTCTGGGTTCAGAAGCTGCGTTCGAAGTCCCGGTTTCAGAACCGGAGTTGGAAATTCTGGATTCTGAAGATGAAATGGAAGTTCTGAAATTAGAAGACGAATCGTCAGGGAATCTAAAGCCGTCTGGAGGAACGTGGTCCGCAGACGAACCGCCGGGAAGGGTGTGGGTCACGATGTCGATTTGCACGTCTGCAGAGGACCGGTCCTGAGGAGACAACGTGGATCCTTCGTCAGGATTGCCGGAAACGTGGAAACTTTCTGAATTTCTCTGAGATTCTGCGAAATTAGTTGGAAATTCAGTAGCGGAGGGAAGGGTGTTGAGGGCATCGCCATCTTTGAGTGGCAATTCCGTAGTCACTTCATCGGAGGAAATTTCGCCGACAGCCCCATCGCTTGGGGGTCTTGGAGCTGCAGTGTTGACAGTTTCCTGTGAAATATATTTTACTCAATATAAAAAATACTGTTTTAAAGCTTCAATCGATTACAATTTTGACTGAAGAATCACTAAGCATTATCTCAAAAAAGAAATATCAGCATTATCTCAAATTTTGAACACAGAGGCATTAAAATCAAGCATGCTATTGGTATTCATCAGTTCAATTACAAACTTCATTTTCAAAGAGAACATTAGGTAATCAGATTTGACAGGAAAAATTGACGATCAAATTCGATTAGCCAAGTTTCCCTAAGCTTTAGTTTTTCAACAGGAATTTTATCCACTAACCTCAGGAAATTCATACCACTCATGGTATGAATTTCCATCATTTCTTTTTAATGACTCACCTCAGTGATGCCATGTTCAGTTTCGTCCGTAAAGTCGATCCCATCAAGGGGATCTGCCGTCGACGCAGCAGCGTCATTATCCTTCACAATTTCAGCCATCAGAATCTCGAGCGCGGATTCTTCTCCCTCGGAATTTCCCGACGAGTCGGAATTAGCTTCGGACGAGACACCAAATTTCGATGAATCTTTCACGGTAGAAGAATCATGAAACTTTAAAGCATCTCCGTCTTGATAATCAGACGATGTCCTGGTATCTAAAGTCGTTACCTCCACGCTGGATGAAACCGACGGCGCTGCAGGAAAAACGTAAATTTAAGGTGAGTTTTATAATACCTGCTGAAATAGATCTCACATAGGATAATCGAGGTGATTACGGATTAATAGATTGAGAGATTTTATAATCTCACGATTAATTAAGGTATAATCGTATATTTATTGAGAAATCGAAGTTTAAAAATAATAAATTCTTGTCAGAATATTAAAAATTGGTCGTAAAGTTCTGTTCTATTTAGCTGGAATGACGAACAAATAGGCATATATTGTATGTACAATATAAGAATTGGGCAATACATTTGGTAAGCGGATGTCGGATTAACTCAGATGCAATGCAGTAGTCCCACTGCGCCAATATTCCCAAGTTTTTTGGTAGATCAAAAAGGGTACCTAAATGGGAAATTCATTGCCTTCTTGGTTTACTTAGTTTGTTTGTATTGTATCTTGAACTTGTTATTCAAGTGAAGCATCAATTGCTGTATTAATTTCCGTTCAATTTTGTGTTCTATAGGATAAAAAGAAAAAAGACTCAGACGATAATTTCACCCTTTTTGAATATACATTTAGAATTTGCTTAATTTTATATTTTAAATGCACCATCGTTGAAATTTTAGTTTAAATTTTTGGTACTTTGACACTCGCAGCTACGAGACAGTATTGAATGGCGTCACTAGGACAAATTTTACATTGTTCGGCTTCATCGTTCAGCAAATTCTGAGCAAAATTCGCTTCCTGCAGATTAATAAAACGAGCAAATTTTTAGCGGAAATCGGTCTTTGATGAGGAGCGGAAATTAATCTCCTTTTTTGGCCACGAATTTTGCAGACGGTAAACAAGCTGAAATGTTTTCAAACGAAGCACTCTACAGTCAGCTGAAGAGAGAAGTTTTTTCATTTTAAATTCGCTCGCAACTTTCCGTAGTAAATCGGCTAGGAAGTTTTAAAGAGCATCTATAGCACGCAATATGTCTTACAAAACTAAGTATTTAAACCAATAATGTTAGTAAAATTGTATGGGAAATGCATAAAAAATAGTTAAATCAATGGTTTTAGTAAACTCTTATGGAATTATATAACTAAGTGGCACAAAAATTATTTCAATATGATCAAGTATTTTTATGTAGGTTAATTCACTAGAAAAATTGCTGTAGGTCCTAGGAAAACCAAAACGTGAATCCCACGTTACGAGTAAGCTGCTTGATTTTTAAATGGAAGGTCACTACTAGTACTAGGAAGTACCTAAAAAATGGCTCAAGGATTACTGGAATTCAGAAAAAATTCACTCCTAACTTGGAAACGAATTTTACTTTTTACTCATTGCCACTTTCTACAACTCACCTAGGCTGACAGGTTGTTCATCGCTTGTTGCTTTTAAATCAGAAGTTTTGTTTTCGTCTTCGCTCGATTCGTGTGGTCCTTTGACTGCAGACTGTGCATAACCTTGCATGATCTGAATCTTGTGGTTCCCGTTCAAGTTGTTCATGTTTGCAACGCCGATCAATTTCTCTCCACCTTCCAGTTCGTGTTCCAACGTAATCTTTGCATTCAACGACGAGTCTATTGACCGTTTGCCGTTTTGCGGCAAGTTCATCATCTTCGCAGACCGTTCTTCAGGAGATTTGTTGTCGATGTGGCGTGTGTTAAATCGTCGCTCTGATGGAATTGGTATTTTTTCGGCACGATCATCGAAATAAATCTGGCCTTCAGCCTGCCATTCGCCTTCAGGGAATGCCCGGCCTTCTCGAGCGTACCTCTCATTGAAGGCGTTCGAGCGAACAGAGTTTCGAACCTTTGACGGTGCGTGGAAATTTTCGGATGGCTGAGTCTGAGCCTCGGGGCTGTACATGTTAAAAGGCTCGTAGGAAGAATCCCCGTCCAATGCATTGAGTAGCTCTTCTTTGAGGATGGCGTAGTGAGTCTGGTATCCATACATGCGCTTGATCAGACCCTGGTTCTCGAATACGAACTTCCGAAGCTTTGACCTGCATAGATAGATTGTTTTGTGAAAAGAGAATTACCCTTAAATATGAGCATAATGCATCGAAAAACGCAAAAAAATAACATATAAAATAGTTAATGAAACGTGAACTTTTAAATAACCAAGTATAGGGGTAGAAATTAAAACTACACCTTCACAATGGGATATTTAATTTGATATGTACAAGAAACAAAAACTTATCGAAACGAAGTTGCCAAAGGTAGAAATGTACAATTATCGAGAGACATACTAAGTACACTCGTACAGACTGCGCACCTACGTACTGCGGACACACGCACCACGGGCACGCATCCGTACCCCGAGCATGCTCACGTAGAGCGGGTATATTAACGTACTCCAGGCAAACACACGTACCCCAGGCAAACACACGTACCCCAGGCAAACACACGTACCCCAGGCAAACACACGTACCCCAGGCAAACACACGTACCATGAGTACGCTCATGTACCACGGACATGTTCACGTACCCCAGGCACAATCACGTACCCCGAGCACCATCACGTAGCTCAAGCACACCCACGTACCCAAGCCACACGTACCCCAGGCACACCCACGTACCACGGGTAGCTGTCACCAGAAGTATCACAGAAGGAGTTCTTGACGAGGTCACAGGGCACGTCAGGCTTGGTCTGGAACTCGCGGGCCTCTCGGGCGCAGCTCGCTCCTGGGTCGCCCAGCGACGCCGCGACGCCCAGCAGCGCCCAGTAAACCTGGACAATTTCTTAGTTTATGACCCAGAAACAACCTGTAAATCTGGGCCATTTCTTAGTTTATGGCCCAGCAACGCCCAGTAAACCGGGACAATTTCTTAGTTTATAACCCAGCAGCGCCCAGTAAACCTGGACAATTTCTTAGTTTAATTATGACCCAGCAGCGCCCAGTAAACCTGGACAATTTCTTAGTTTATGACCCAGCAGCGCCCAGTAAACCTAGACAATTTCTTAGTTATGGCCCAGAAACAACCTGTAAATCTGGGTCATTTCTTATTTTATGGCCCAGAAATGCCCAGTAAACCTGGATGATTTATCAGTTAATAGCCCAACAAACTCGGACAATGTCATATGACCATGTTTGACAGTTTATGGCCCATTAAGGTACAGTGAACCTGTCAATTCCTTATTTTATGGCCCAGTAATGTACAGTTAACCTGGAAAATTCCTTATTATATGGCCCAGTAAGGTACAGTAAACCAGGGTAATTCCTTGCTTTATGGCCCAGTAGGATACAGTAAACATGGACAATTTTTATGGAGATAAAGAATACACAATATTCATAATTGAATAAAAAATATCGTTTGTTATGAGAAGAATAGAAAACGTTTCGGAAATCAGTCATGAAAAAGAAGTGTCGTCCTTTAGTGATGAAAAAGAAGTGACGCATTTATTGCAAAATAAAAGAATAAAATTGATCAAATTGGCGCACATATGCCAGATCTCCGCCTTTCAGTTAAAATAAAGCATTCATCTCCTGATTTAACCAGACATTAGTAAATATAGAATAAATAATTAATTTTTCGTAAGTACTTGTATTATTAGTCTGCTTAAATTACCAGATCACAAAGAATTTAATAGCAAAGAAAATTCCAAATAAATACATGATATTTTCATAAAAGAATTTTATGAGACCAGCTTCATCATAAGTTCTAAAAAATTTAGAAAATGCACGTACAATTCGCAGTGAAAAATCGTTCATTGTTTGGCTTCTCAATGCGATGAAATATCATGGAGTGATGAATTACGTATAAAATACTGGGCTTTTACAGCCTTAGTTTAAAGGCAAGACATAATTTGAATATCAATGCTATAATCTAATTTAATTTTATCCGTCAATATTTCGATTACGGATAAATAAGCCAAAAAAATATGTCATAATTAAGCGTCAAGGATGAAAGTGTATATTGACATTTGCCGTTGTTTAAAGTCGCCTGTCTTTCAATTTAATTAAATATCAAGTCGGTAAAAGACGAAATCCTATCGTCTTCTCGCAATTTTAAGAACAAAACACATATTTTTATGTTAATACAAGCTTTTGAATCTAAAATTGATAAGCCCGAGCTTCATCAGTGAAATTTCATCGGTAGAAATAAAAATTAATTAGAGATATAAGCACAATTCGAGAAATTAAATAAACAGAGTTAATAAAACGTCTCACTTCTACTAATACAAATAAACCTCGAACTTCTCTAGTAATGGAAAACTGTCCGTTTTATGCGCGGGAGTGCGGCGAGTTCATTAATATGAGAACTTACAGGAAAAAAGTGAGAGAGAATGCAACATTTCTCAGAAGTTGAGACAGATATTAGATTCCAGGCTGCAAGGCGAGCCTTTTGTCAAAGCAACTAACGGGCAAACCGTGAGAAAATTAGCCAAAGTTTGCGTATTAAGCGAGCGAGGAGAGAATAACCTGGTAGAGGCTGAGTAAAACTGCATGGCCTCGGCCGCTCCAGGGAAAATATCTTAGGGAGCAATTAAATTGGGTGCTGATAAATAATGGCCGGCGGTCGGGCGCTGAGACGGCTGTGATTTTCAGTAGGGAGTAATTGGACTTACGAGTATAAATGGTTTGGGAGGTAAACAACTAATATACATTTTTAAATATTAATTCGGTACTCAACATATTATTAATATTTTTCGTTAAATCAGACGTTTCAGAATTAGACATATTTGAATATAAGTTCTCTTACTAAAATTAGTATTTTATATATGTAGGGTACATGCCTAAATTTTCTCATTTTCATCTAGCCAAAATATCATTACAAAATCAGACGTAACTCGCCAGCAGCTTTTGGCGACGCGAACCTTCGAAAACTTGTGTCGTGGAGATGCAACTCGTTGAAAATGCGTAGTGAAACATGAAAATGTAATAAATATATACATCGTGATTTGCCGCTATCTATTTTTCGCTTTTTATTTCACTGCTTACGACGATGCAACACTCAAATTATGAATAGTAGGTAGATTTTTCAATGAAATTTCATGAAAACTTTCAGAAGATACAATAATGTTATCAAGTTCATGTTTCTCTGTTTTCAAGTTGTTACATGAAAAAATTCTTATTGTTCTCACAATTTCTGTCAAAGGATGACGCTCCTGTGATCTTTTATAAGGACTTAGAAATATTTTATATTTTTTATTATATTTTATAAAATCTGCATTCTGTAAAATAAATCAATAAAATTTATTCATAAAAATGCAATATATATTTTTAAATATATTGAGGAAAAATATTCAAAGAGATTATTTATTTCTTCCAAAGTTCCACGTGTGAATTAAGAAAATCGATCTGTCCTAAATTTACATAGGAAAACTTTAAAAAAAATTCATTCAAATGAACCATCGCTTTCATTAGAAATTGAATAACCAATTGCAATCATTAAAAGTTGAATTAATAGCAGGTAATTACACTTTACTTGTTTCGACTATACCACGGGCTAGGCAAGGTAGGGGACAGGCTAGCCAGTCCCTGAAAATAGGGTACCGTATGCGTGAAAAAAAATAGGGTATGCGCCTAAAGTGGGCTGCCAGAGCCAAGAACGTATAGCGTGACTGTGCACATTTCAAAAACAAAAACTTTATAAACGCGTCATGAGTGCGACTGTGTTGGGCAGAATTATTTTTTTTATTCATGTGTGATGGTCGTTGTTAGAATCCCAACAGATAAATTATTCTTCCAATTCATCTCGATTTAAGCTCAACTTAGAATGAACCACTTAGAATAAAGCTCAATTAAATGTAAATCACAATTTAAAATTAAATAAACCATGAGCAAAATTATGATATAATATGCAATTTTCAAGCAAATTTTGTGATCTAGAAACAGCAAGTTTCCCAGTGCTGTGCAACCGCCGAGTATGAGTAACCAGCATTAAATTTTTTATCTTTTGAAAATAAACTATGCATTAACATAAAGTCAATTAGAAATTATATGTTTTCTTTGGTTTCTAATTGGTCCTTCCATTTATACATTCGAATTATCAGAATCCTTACATAGCAATGCAAGTATGCAACCAGCCACCAGGGGAACCAGCCGGGCAGTCGTATTATTCGGCGCAAAGTATTTAGTTATCCCTCGAATTCTCTCACAGAAAACCTCGCTTTAGTTTGGAAAAAGAAAATATTTTCGTGCATATCTAAACCAATTTCAGTAAATTATAGTATAGTATATAGTACAGTATAGTGATGCCGGCGCCGAAGAATAGGCCGGTGTGGCCTGTTGCCGAATCTTCTGCCACGTCTCTATAAATAAATTTAAGATTCATAAATTATATATACCTCTTCCAATGTAATGTTTTTTAAATGTCCACTTTAATCTCATTCGGGTTTGACGCTTCAGACGTATTACTCCAACTTTCAAGTTCATCAGCACTATTAATATAATACATTAAAATTCATTAATAATATAATAAATATAATTTTAATATCAAGTTCATATTAATACTCTTTGGCTATATTAATAAAGACATAATACATAATATGAATAGTACTAACTGAGAGTTATGAAATAAAATGTTACCATTCGCAATTATTTGATAATGAAAAACCGAATGTAGAATGCAGCATCACTCAATCATCGAGTTGATGAGCGGCATTCTGTAACCTCTGAACTCGAGTATATTTGTCAGCGTTCTGGTTCTGGTAGAGCTACAATAAACAATTTTTCGTGGTAAAAATGAATAATTATCCTAACTACTTAGATATTATCTATTATAACCACTTCTAACTACTTGAATATTATTCAAATAACCTTCTACTTCGCACGTGTTTCAGCGAACACAAGCCCGGAAGCGAGCGTTATTTCGATCGAGCCTCGCAAATCTCGATCACGTTTGATGTTTGCGCCTCTCGACCAATCCATGGAAAACCAGGAAAACCGAAACTCGCTTCTTAGATCATCTTGAGCGTGGCCACATGAATTTTTACCTTTCACTTCTCAGACGACAAAAAAAATCTGGTAAAAATCACGGATGTGAAATTTTTTATAATTTAAAATAACACCTTTTCATGAATTCTGGGCAAAATCAGTGGTTGCAACAAACCTCCACATGATCGAGGTTTGTTTTATTGCCTGGTAGTAAGAAGAAAGAATTTGAGAAGTGGACATTTGAGAAAAAACATTACATTGGAAAAGGTATTTTCAATTTATTGATTTTTAATTTATTTCTAGAGAAGTAGCAGAAACTGAAAATTTTTCACAACGTAATGCATCAAAGGCTAAAAAGTAATCATACAAAATTATACCGTAAATTCAGATATTCAATACTTTAAATTTAGTCATCATCCATTATTTAAAGAGTCTAAGCACATACTCCTGCTCTTCACTAAGTTCTCCTGCTCTTCACAGTGAACTTGAGTTCGTTTTTATTCAGCTTGTCTGTTAATTAATTCGACATCTTCGTCGGGTTTCCTACCTTATCCGATATATATACCAGGAACCGGTACACTCCTACGCAAAAGTCATTATTAGGATAATCAAAATGATTATTAACAGCGGTAAGATAATAATAAATTTATACTTAAATTAATCTCGCGATATTTTCCTTAACATTTAGCTTTAATGCTCGGTTTATAATTTATTTAATATAATTCGTGTGATCTCTATCGAGATTAACACACAGTAAAACCGTGACACAAATACGTAATTACTATCACTTATTTATTAGCTTGATTTGAATGATAAATCAGCTTGAATATCTAAATAAGACAAGGCCTTT